GGGAGGGCCTGGGTCCCATTGGAGCAGGCATCCCCTTCAGCAACACCCTGGACAGTGGCTTTCCTTTCCTGGAGCTGCCTGGCCTAGCATTCTCGCACAGGTGGGTCCTTTCTTGGCTTCTATCTTCAGAAAAAATAATGGAATGGGTTACTCTCTAGCTTCCAGACTCTTCTCCAGCCATCAGCACATTGTCAAAAATGGTTCTCTGGGGTTTACAATATGCCAAAGCCCCCAAATGAGAAAGCCCTTGTCCATACTTGCTTTAGTTGGATGGGCGGTGTTCTGTTTATTCCCACACCCAATCCTCGGTAAACTGTCTGAGTCTGTCCCGACTCCCTATTCACTTTTGGGTCAGGGGTGGGGGGGAAAGGTCGAAAGACAGGCTTTGCAAGCAGAGCTCACATCCTCAGTCCTGTTTCCCGGGAGCAGGTTTTGGTGACAAGGATATTTTTCTCTGTTCTTAATTCCTGTTTCTGAATGTCAAGGATAACTCCCAGACTGGTGGCTTAGAACGACCTTGGGTCAGCTTTTGAGAAGAGGACAGAGCCCCCTTTGCAGAGATGTGGAAGGATTCATCAGTACTTCCGGTCTGCTTAGGGAGGGGTGAAGAGGCAGCTGGTCCACCCTGGTGATGTGCCTTATCAGCTCTGGGCAGCATAGCAGGGTGCTAGCGATGTCGATGTTGGGAAGTGAGATCAAATTAGCATCTGCAGCAGCTACGCACAGACAAACTCAGCACCCCCACCCCAAGGCCTGTCCCTTTCAGAAAGCAGACACCAGGACACAGCAACCCCATAGTCCTTCACTCCCGCCAACTGGAGCTCACGCATACGCTTTAATACGTACACTCACTCAAATATAAATACCACCCTCCTGCCCACACTGATACACAGAGAGACCAACAGAATCACACATAGTGCCGTGTGGGTGGGAGCTGAAGTCATTCTCTCAGAATAGCTCAGACCGGCCTCTGCCAGCTGAGCCACCAAGCTTGCCTCAGGTTTCCACATGTGGTCAGAACCGAGAGGTAACCTTGACAACCGAGCCAAGGCCCCAAGGCCCCCCACAGAAGTACATACCACTAGTGGCTTCTAACTAGCAAAGAGAGAAGAATCTGTGATTTCCTCACAGACAAGGCCAGGACATAAGGACAGAGTCCCGTGGTCTAAGGAGGGCAGTTTGGAATGCCACAACATTCTCCAATGATCCACACAGGTAGGCCAGACAAACGGATGGAATGGTCAACCAAGAGCAGAGGAAAAGAAGATCTGGGGTCACATGTCACTGAAGTTCTGGTGCAGATAAAGGGTAGACCCAAGGCCATCCTCACCCCTGCTATCACCAAGGGACCAGTGACTTGGACTGTGGAGTCATAGTCAGCACAGTGTGTCAGCGTTTATGCTTACCACACGTCCCATAGATGCAGGTAGAAGAAGAAATAAAAGACCGGGGAAGAAGAAATGAGCGAGAACAGCAGGAGGTAGAGAGGGTGAGCTAGAACGGGAGCCATTCTCTTTATCCCGGGGTTCAAAACACTCCAAGAACAGGAAGCAAGGCGACAAAGGGAAGAGGAGCAGGCCTTTACTTTGAAGCTTCTGCCAGCTCCCACTAACTCAGGCTGCTTTCCCCTTTGTTTTGTTGCTGCTGATGTTTGAGACCAGATCTCACTATGTAGCCCTAGGTGGTGTAACACCTTCTCTGTAGACCAGGCTAGCCTTGAACTCACAGACATCTGCCTGCCTCTGCTTCCTCAGCTCTGGGGCTAAAGGTGAGTGCTACCACACCTGGTGTTATCATCAACTTAAAGGCAGTTTAAAGACATTTCTTTAAAAAATAGGATTAATGTAATGTAGTTGGTGCTATCAGGAATCAGTCCTAAGGCTGGATGTGGTAGCAAACATCTTTAATTCCAGTACTCAGAGAGGCAGAGGCTAGCCCCTACCTGTGGAGTTTCAGGCCACCAGCCAGTGCTACACAGTGGGAGCATGTTTCAAAACAAACAAACAAACAAACAAACAAGTAAACAATTCTAGAACCTAAGTCCTGTTTTGGGGATGCTGCTTCTGTCTGGTGACTTGGGAATGTTGAATGTGAGAAAGTTAAGCTCCTTTGTAGGGTTAGGAGTAGTGGAGAAGCCGGGGAGGGAGGAGGCCTGCCTGTTGGTTCTTAAGAAGCACCATGTGCTACAACATCAGATCCGAGACGCTGTGGTGTCTCTGCAGAAACCCAGGAAACCATGCAGCAGCGTCATCCCCACATCAGGATTTAAGTTCTAGAATTGTTTGTTTTGAAACATGGTTTCACTGTTTAGCTCTGGCTGGCCTAAAACTCTGCAGGTAGACCAGGCTGGCCTCTGTCTTTCTGAGTACTGTGATTAAAGGTGTTGGCTACAACACCCAGTCTTAGAATTGATTTCAGGATTGGGGTCATCTTACCTGTGTGGCCGAGCAGCAGCGTCCCAGGAACTGGGGGAGCCAATGAAAAGAATACCATGTTTGTAATCTGCAAGCCCTGCCCTGTCCTGGCTCAGCTGAGAGGTCAGTGTGTAACGCAGAGATGTGAACATTCACAGGGGGCCAGTTTGAGTTAAAGAAAAACAAGGCTGATGCAGAAAGCATTTTTCCCATTAATCTGGTTATAAGATGTTAGTCTCAGAACACCAGACCCGAGCCAAAGACTCTGGAAGATGATGGTAAGAGTGTCAAATTCAGCCACTGAACAAACCAGTCAGTACAGGCCTGTGCACTTTGATCTATTCTGCTGACTTCCTTGGTGGCTAGCCTTGGTCAATTCTGGCCTTGCTGACACCTGGCCTCTGTGGTTCATTGCATCTAGGTTACCTTTCTACAAGATCAGCCCTGTTTCCTGTTTTAAAAAGCAAATAATTTCCCTCAATAAACAGCAAGAATCATCTTACCTTTCCTACTCCATCCCCAGAAGAGGGGCAGCGAAGAAGCTATCCAAGGGGTATGTTTAATATATCATTGCACTAGAACCCTAGGGCACTTTGATCCTCCCCCCGCCCCCATGAAACAGAAGGGAAGAGCATCCACAATGAGAGGAGTCTGGGGAAACTGAGGCATACAAACCTAGTAACCCGCTCCCACGTAACTTGTAAACTGATGCTGGGTCAGGGGAGAGGTCTTGCTTGTAAGGCTGAGGCAGGAGGATCCCCAGTTTGTGATGTGCTAAGTGGCCATATGGGTATAACATAAGTTCAGCATTGGGAGGATGGCCAGAAATGTATTTTCAAGGTTGTTTCTGGAATCTGCAGGAGCATGAATTGGTGGCTAAGGGCTAGTGAGGTACTCTGAATTAAAGACATAGCCATAGTGCACCAGGCAGGACCAGGTATGTGAGGTAAAGGCCATGTTATAGACATGTGAATAGTGGGGAAAATTCTGTGATCTAGGTGACAGAGATGTCATGATACTTAGAAGACAGTGAAAAAAGGGACGTTATCGTACAGAGTGGTAGAAACCTACAATGAGTCCGGGCAGCCCAGCAAGCGGAGGAGTTGTCTCAGATAGGTTTGAGCAAGGCAAGAGCAAGCAGATAGATACTTTAGGAAAATGACTCTATCTACTAATGGTGAGGAAGGTGCTTTGGGGATAGGAGGGGAAGGAACCCGCTGAGATCATCTAAGGATGAAGAAACCAATAGTCTTAGGACCAGATCTGAGGAAGCTAAAAGAGGGTTTGGGTGCTGTAGGGACAGCGAGCAGTAGCTTTGTCTGAAAGGGGGAACAGGGAGGGAGGGGAGATTTAGAGGAGGCACTAGACATCCAGAGGGAGGGACAGAGCATGTGGGAAAAGGACGGGAAAAAAGATGAGAAAGTCCACGGAAGAAAAATAAACAGCAAAACAGACAGCTCAGGGATAGACAGTGGAGAGAAAAGGGAAGAGGGACCCGGGGTAGGAATGGGCACAAAGGACCCAGGGAAGCTGGCGGCTCAGGCCTGGAAACAGGTAGAGAAGCCTGGCTTAGAACTGAAGGAAAACAGAATTTTACACAAGCCATGGCGCTAAATTCAGACCAGATTCTGTGCAGGACGCAGAGGTGTGGGTGACAAGTTGTCCCACTCAGTAGTCTGCCTAGCTTCCTGGCACCAGTCCCTGAGCCCCTGAGTGTAGACGAAGCCAGAGCTGAAGCCTTTTCTCTGGGGAGCTAGTGTTTACAAAAGCCTCAGTCCACAAAAAGGAAGGAAAACAATCAGTGAAGAGGGAGGGGCAGGGAACTGATGGAAAACTTTGTACAGTTCACACCAGATTACGTACACACACACACACACACACACACACACACACACACACACACGGTCACTTAAAGGAAAGTGAGTACTGGAAAAATAACCCAAAGGACAGAAAATATTCCCCTCGACACTCCTCCCACCACAACACCAAACAGTGAATGCTGATTACTTTTCGGCAATTACAGAAGAGGAAAAGCAGAGTTTGTTGGGGGGATGTAGAACTGTTATGGAAGCAAAAAGAATACAACCCCCATTGCTGAAAACACTAGGAACCCGTTCTGATCAGCTGGGAGAGAGTGGCAGAGGTAACCAGGTCCCAGGGTGAACTGCTCTGTCTTTCTGTCAGGAGGCATAGGAGAAGTAACATCGGCGAGGGCATCCTGGAGGAGGCAGCAGGCAACCTGGGTCTTGGCACTGTGCAGAGGCGACGTCCGGGCATGCCCGGTGTAGAGCGTTTCCTCTGCCCAGGTCCAAGGCCCTCTCCTGTCCGCCTCCCACCTCAAGGGAGTCCGGTGCTGGTTCCCAATAATGACGTCAGTCAGTGATGACCTCAGCGCCCGGGAGGCGCGGGCGGGCGAGCGGGCGGGCGGGCGGGGGGGGGGGGGGCGCAGGCTGCGAAGGAGAGGCGGGGTATTGGGGGACACGCCCCCATCCGCCAGCGTCGGCCAATGGGCGCCGCCGACGGCTCCCCGCCTCCCCGAGTGGTATGAAAGGCGCATCCCGGGGAAAGTCCGGGCAGAGCCCGAGAGGCGGCCGGACCGTCATCGTTCTAATACAGCTACTTCCTCAGCCACCGGTATGAGCCACGGGAAGAGAACCGACATGCTCCCGGAGATCGCCGCCGCCGTGGGTTTCCTCTCCAGTCTCCTGAGGACTCGGGGCTGCGTGAGCGAGCAGAGACTCAAGGTTTTCAGTAGGGCGCTCCAGGACGCACTGACCGGTGAGCACACGTCGGGGTCCTGGAACCGCCGGAGTGCGGCCACTTCTTGCCTGGGGTGTCTTTCCTCACTGTTTCTGGGACGGGGACCCCTACGCGAACAACTCCGGGTCTCAGATGTCTTGCTCTAATTAATCTCTGAGGCCGCCGATGGTCCTCTGTTCCTTCGGTTAGATCTCCGTCTCCCCACCCTCTGGTCCCCGCCTCGCTCCCGAGGCTCTGACCCTCTTCCTTGAGTAGTACATTCTGAGACCCTGACAACACCACGAGAAAAGTCAGTGTGTGTGTGTGTTCAGAGTACGAGCTTACCTTTATCTCAGAATCTTGGAGACCTCCAGACCTTCAGGGGATGCTATGGGCCACGAAGCCAAGCTAAGCTATGCGACTTTATGCGCACTTGAACTTTCTAGACAACTCTGAGTCCTAGCCACTGTAGCTGTATAGTCCATGGCTTGCCATCATATAGGCCCGTTCTGCCGCTTGTTTACCCGCTGGAAGTTGTAATCTGCGTCCTCTTTGTATATTTTCTTTTTGGTCCCTCTTCACCATCTGCCACCTATTGTAGTACAGAAATGAGCTCGGTAGCCTAGCCAACTGCGGGGGGAGCGGCGGGGGGGGGGGTTATGGAGGCAGGGTGTGAGGGAAGGAGGTGGAGGAGTGATAAGCCGCCCTTTAGCCTCTGTTCCCAGCTGTTATAACTGCTTGGTTTGCCTTGGGCAGCGATAGCCATCTCTCAACACGTTGGCACAGATCTAAGGACCAACAGCTGTTTTATCAAAACAAAACCTTTTTTTTTTTTATTCCCTTACCTTTGCTAAAGATCTCAAAACTCTTCTGATGGGGGAGGGATGAGAGGCCTGGTGATTTGTTGGGGAACCAACAACATTGGCCGCTTACTGGCTTTGAAATTTCAGTGCCTGGGTCATCAGGAGGCCTGAGGGTTCAAGCTAGCACTTCTTTCCTTAAACGGGATTGTGCCAAAAATATCCTTCACCACCAGAGAGCACCTACCTGAAAGCTCTGGGGCTGCCTTCCAATGTACACGAACTTGGAAAGGACCCAGGGATCTTTCTAAGTGGCAGGGGGAGTTTAAGGAGAGGCTCTTAAATACTGGCACTGAGAAGAGGAAGTCCTCTCCCCAGCCCTGTCCCCTCATCCTCCCCTTGTGGTAAACATCAGAGAATGCTTTCTAACAGCGAATCTTCCTCTCTCTCTCTCTCTCTCTTTCTATTTTCCCACAGATCATTACAAACACCACTGGTTTCCCGAAAAACCATCCAAAGGCTCTGGCTATCGCTGTATCCGTATCAACCACAAGATGGACCCCATCATCACCAAGGTGGCCAGCCAGATTGGACTCAGCCAGCCCCAGCTGCACCGGCTGCTGCCCAGTGAGCTGACCCTGTGGGTCGATCCCTACGAAGTGTCCTACCGCATCGGGGAGGATGGCTCCATCTGTGTCCTGTACGAGGAGGCCCCAGTAGCTGCCTCCTATGGGCTCCTCACTTGCAAGAACCAGATGCTGCTGGGCAGGAGCAGCCCCTCGAAGAACTATGTGATGGCCGTCTCCAGCTAGAGAGGAGCCACCCAACCCTGGCACTCTACTGTTCCCGTGCTGCCCTGACAACAGGCCACCGTATACCTCAACCTGGGGAACTGTATTTTTAAAATGAAGAGCTATTTATACATGTTATTATTTTTTTTAAGAAAAGAGGAGGGGGAAAAAAACCAAAAGATTTTTTTTTAAAAAAAAAAGAAAAAGAAAAACAATTCCTTAAAGGGAGCTGCTTGCACGTGGCCTCCCCAGGTGCCTTTGGAGAGAACTGTTCTTGATTGAGTCTGTGAGCCAGTGTTTGCCTAGGGGAATGGGTTAGGGACTGGCCTAGCCAAGGTAAAGGGGAATTCTTGGCTGCTCCCCCAGGAGGTGGTGAAAGGGAGCAAGGTTGGCAACTGTGAATGAGAGGGGTCAGGGTCTGCTCTGGGTCACCGTCCCAGCTGGGATGCCTGTATGCCTGGTCCCTCTCTTACTCAGGGGCATTCAAACCTGATCTTAAGTAGTACTTCATTGCCTACTCTTCTCTCGTTTTTCTGCTGAGACCCTGGGCAGACTGAAAGGCCTCTCTTGTCCCTTCTGTTCTAAGCAGAGTTTCTTGAAACCGTGTCTCATTTCTGATTCTACCCTCGGGGTCCTGAAGAGGTTGTTTCCCAGCCAGGAATCTTATCTAAACATTTTTGGAGGGTGTAAGGCAGGTGTGCAAAGACTTTGGGGCTAAGATGGAGAGGAACTGCACAAAACCTTTTGCTTTGCTCTGTGCTGCTTTGTATGGAGGGATGGTGAATAATTTAGGGATGATTTGCAATGGAATTTTGGGACCCAAAGAGTATCCAATATTGGTGGGTTTCTGGACCCAAACCCTCCTCTTGGGAACCGCATGACAGTCTGAATGCTGCTACCGTTATTCCTTTGAGAGGTGGCTCAAAGCTCCAGGGAACTACAGGTCCTTTCTTACTGCCTTCTCTTCAAGAGCAACCTCCCCCATTTCTTCTTTCCCCTCTTTCCTGCGGTTGGGTCCTGGAGGGCCCTGTTTCCTAGGACAAGAGTTCTCAGTCACTGTGCAATAGTCCCAGGAAGCTCTGAGACTGGGCCTCCCAGCCCCCCTGATGCCCTTGTGGGTTTTAGGGAGCCACCTTTCCCATTCTTATGGGGTTCTGACTGGCCGGTGGGCCTTGCGGAAATCTTCCTAGGCCGCAGGGAGGGCACCTGTGCACTGCAGGACTACCTTGTATTCTTGTAGGGCTGCCATGAAGAGCCAAACCTGGGGCACAGCTTTATCTCCTTGGTGCTCAGAGCACCTGTGGGGGAGGTTTCTCTCTCTCTCTCTCTCTCTCTCTCTCTCTCTCTCTCTCTCTCTCAGTAAAATCCAAATTTATTTGTAGATGTGTGCAATATTTACTGTTCTGGGTTGGAGAAAATTGGGAAACACTGGGAAGAAGTGGTTTTCCTTCAGTTTCAGTGACACTGGTGGAGGCTTCTCAGAAGGCCTCGAGTCTCTCAAACTGAAGGACAGAGCTAGAGCCAGCCAGTTACACTTCGTGAGGATCCCCTTCCCCATGTTTCTCCACCGCCATGGCATCCCATGTCCTGGATTTCTCAACTCCTCAGTCTCTACTCAAAGGTGCTATTTACCAAACACTCTGTCTGTCCTGTTCTGGCACTCCCCAGCTGCGCACAGCCTTCCCACGTGGCTTCTCTCTTGCTTTAAAGTTAACTCTGGGCCCACAGACCCAAGAGCTGTGGATTGACAAAGCTGTGAATTGCTCCAAATGGTTCTTGTGTCTTGTACACACACAGGTCCCTGCCTTGTTAGAAGCAGCCTCCTGGTCTCATGCTTAAATCTGTTCCTGACTGTCCACGTTCACTTTAGAAATGACAAAACCCCAGAGCTGGACTGTTGAGCAGGCCTGTCTCTCTTACTAAGTAAAAATAAGTACTAGTGGTAAGTTTGTAAGCTATTCTGAGAGAAAAGACAAAGGTTACTAATTGTATACTAGCGCTTTTATATGGAAGACTGTACAGCTTTATGGACAAATGTAAACTTTTTGTTTTTAATAAAAATGTAGCAGATCATGTATTGTGTAGAGAAGGTGAAATTCCATAGCGCTGACTGGCATCTCCCTCTTAGATCCAAACCCTCTCTTCATGTTTCGTGTATTTCATCAGTTTTCCTGGGCTCCGTCTGCACCATGCAGATGTTATTAAAGATAACCTAGGTTTGTGGCAAGGTCACTTCCATGCATCCCCTCTCTCTAGGGGGTGGCTCCATACTTCTGTCCTTTTTGTGAATATTGCCACAGGTCTCTAAAAAAATGTTTTCTGAACATTCTGCAGCCAATTTGTTCTTGGTCATTTAGCACACTGTAAAGCTGGCCGGCTGTGTCCACATCTGTGCAAGCAACCAACCACGGATGGAAACTATACAAATCAAAAACCATTCAGGAAGTTCCAAAAAAAGCCAAAAATTTTGACTTGGCACACACTAAGCATACCAGTCCACTCGATGTGACTGCAGTTATACACAAGCACACTCTGATGTTCCTCCTGGCATTCCAAAGGTCACCTGTGAGGCCAACGTTTAAGCATGGTTTGTTTCATGTCCAGTTCATGCAAAAGCATTAGGGCCGACAGTGGCAGCGCCATTACTGGACATGTGCAGACTTTTCCTTGCCATTCTGGAAACAGTCTAGTTTAACAACTATTTCCCATGCACTAGGCATTGTAGACAATCTTAGGATTTAAAGTACGTGGTTGTGGGGAATACTCAAGTAGAAACTGCTGAGCCATTTTATAAAGGAGACTTTAGCATCTACAAGGCTCATGGCACCAATCCCCATGCAGTTACCTAGTGACTTGACCATATTGTCAATGAATATTAAGAGTAGGTAAAACAGACCCTGCTTTTCACAGGCCACGGGTGGTGAGCAAAGGATGACCCTTTTCACAGGTTGAGGCGAGACGATCTGTCATTCCTAGAATAGAGGCTCTTGTCACCTCGGCTACCATTTGTCACCTGCTGTTCTTGCCTTGTTAGACAAGAACTGTTGGGCTTCAGGGTCTGTGCACTGGGGCCACACATGGCAAAATGCCAGTGGCACAAGTTAGTTAGAAAGCAGCTATTTCTGAGAAATACATGGGGTGAGATCCCATGGCCTGTTACTCATTTATAACTACGTTTGACCACATGGAGAGAATCTATGAAAGAATAATTTGTCATGATTGACTTGATTCTTTCTTAAAATTTTTATATACACTCAGCTCCCCACTAAAGCTACAGGTTCATTTTTGACCCACATTGGATGTTTTTCTTGGATGGAAGTGAACTGCTGAAAATTTCAACTATCCTTATTTCTGTTCATTCTCCATGACTTTGCACACAGTTGTGCAGTTTGTCCTTGGTGTTCTAGATCACAGTTATGTCAGGGAAGCTGTATGCATATGTCTGTATTCTGTGTCTGGGCTGGGAAGTCAAGGCATCTGTGTCACAAATAGAATTGGGTTGCCACAGGGATAGAACCATTTTCATTTGTCCCTCTCTGGATACAAGGACAGGATGAGGGTCTACGAATGCTTGCCCCTCCTTGGAGTTCTTTTATGTTATTCCATTCAAAGTTAGCAGCTATCTTCTTGTTTCCTGAAAGGCCACAATCCTAAAGGACAGAGTTCTGTGATCCAGGAAGATGTTACTATTTTTAGACCTGGCCAGTATCAGTAGGAGTAGTGAATACCTACTGGCTTGGGGTTTGGGGGTTCTGGGTGGAGTAACAGGCTTTCCTGGGCTCAGAAACTAGGCTTTCTTTCAGTTTTCCTGTGAGTTGGTTGGAAACCACGGTAGCCTAGGGTCCTGTGTATGGTCAGCTGTTTGGGCACGATAATGTCCCTCCCCAGAGAGTCTGGGCAAGGCTCTGGTAGCTGTAGATTAAGAGTCCATTCTGGCTTCTGATAAGGTTTGGGTGGAGGAGCCCTTGATGCTGCCAAAAACAAGCCCTAGGAGGAAGAAACCACTTTTGTGACTCTGGCATTGGCTCCTATAACAGCCTTGGGTAAGAAAGGATACGGAGGACTCACGAGCCCTGGTTCCCAGGTCAGCGCCAGCAGCATTCCTGATCCCATGAAAGTTTTGCAATAGAGTTTGTGGTTGAGAGGGCAAATATATGTTTTTCAGTCCTTGTTCTTTTCTGCGAGTAGCTGGGAAGGTTTGGAAAAATCACCCAGTTTTTCCTGTCTTAGAGATCAGGGGGGTGAACTAAGCACGGTGCCTCAGGCTTCCAATCCTAGCCCTTGGAATGCTAAGGCAGAAGAATGACTGTGACTTTGAGAGCAGTATGGGATACAGAGTAAGATTCTGTCTCAGAGAGGAAAAGAGAGAGGAGAGGAGGGGGAGGGAAGGAGGGAGGGAGGGAGAAAGGTAGAGACAGCAAGGGGGGAGGAAGAGAGAACAGATATGTGTGGGTGGGGATTAAAAGTCTACTAAATGCCCGTGTCCTTGTCCTCAGTCTAAACCATCCCCACCCCTGGCAAACACTGGAGGCCAAATGAGAACCATTTCTATCGTTGGATGGAAAGGTCGTTTAGGTGGGCATGGAGTCAGGAGTTCATTTCTAGCTTGCATCAGACTCCTGTTTGATCAGGTTTCCATTCCCAAAGATAATGAGATGGACGTACAAGGAAGCAGAGAATGCAGACATAAGTGTCCGGTGTCCTGAGAAGGTCCACTTTCAGGGCTACTCCCTGTCCCCTGAGTGGGTTACCTGGGGCAAGTGGCCACCATGGCTTTAGTTCTCCCAGGTGTGGAGTGAGATTTCAAACACAACCTGTTTCAACAAGTCACAAAGCCTATCAGTGGTGAAGACTAGTTCCAACATTCAGTGAATAAGAATTGTCATTACTGACGGAAATTAATCTCATCTTTCCCAGGGCCCTGAACTGGACTTGAGGTCAGTATCAAATGAAGAAAGTAATAGAATCTGGTAGTATCTTCAGGAATGGTTGCAGTTTGATACAGTCCTGGGGCTTCTCCCCTCAATCCTTTGTTTAAAAATCTTCCTACTCCTAGAGCCCGTGTGAGGGTCATATGAAAACAGACACACTGATTGAATGACCTCTGTCATTCTTGTGGAAAAGACATGGTGTCCTTGCTACTTTTTAGGCCCCGACCGTGTTGGCTCTAAGGGCCTGCTTGTGGATTAATACCAAACGAGCTAAATGCTAATTTACACACAAAGTGGGTGGGGAAAGGGGTTCTCCAATAGCAGCATTGCCAGTCTGTGGACTCACACCCACATACTGTTCCTTCCCAGAAGAGAAATGAATGGGGAAACTGAGAAGGGCAAGCCTGGGCTCTCTGGCTTTGTCTCCACACTATTTCTTTGTAGAGCTGGCAAAGAAACCATTTAAGTCTGGTCTAAGAGGCCGCTGGGCCTTGAGATAATGACCTCTAGCACAGCTCTGCCCTGAATGCACAGCCTTTCCCCTGCTTCAGTAGCCTGGTTCCCCAGAAGCTCTACATTGTTTTGTTCCAGCAGAAACCTGGCCCTACCACTTGCCACCCTGCATCCCACAAATGAGGGCGGGCCTTGGTTCAACTCTTGTCCAGTAAGCCGGACAGGCTGTCTGGAGTACATCAGATAAGCAGCAGTAACAGCTGGGCGGGTTAGAATAAGTACTGCTTTATTTACCAGCACCCAGGGAGAGGGCATTTAAACTCTGATGGACATCAGGCAGTAAATGACTGAGGACAGCTGGGGAGAGGCTGGACGGAGCCCAGAGAGAGAGCTCAAGCCTTGTCAGAAAAAAAGAGCCTCCAGTCCTTGGCTCTAGTCCACTGTCATTATGCACAAGAGACTGTGATACGAGATACTCCAGCTTTGCTTGTTTGTTTGTTTGTTTGTTGAGATAGGGTCTCAGTTATTCCCGGCTGGCCTAGACCTGGCTATGCACCCAAGGATGAAGATGAACTCCAGCTGCCCCCCTTTGCGGCTCTTAAGTACTGGGATTAGAGATCTAATGAAGAGGATTAAGCTTTGTTTATGCTAGGCAAGTGCTCTGCCATCTAAACTACATTCCACCCAGGCCGTGGTTGTTGTTATTGTTGTTGTTTGATAATATCTATATGCACAGGGCCTTGGGGTGTGACCTCTGATGAATCCAGAAATGAAGAGGTGATATTCCTCCTACAGCTTTCACAAGAGGAGGAAGCCTCTGTGTTGAGGAGATCACCAGTAGAGACTGATAGTCCCTAGGAAGACACATTCTGCTATGTTCCTAATGTATCTAAAGCTACACAGCAGGGTCCTACCTCTGCTTCCCCCAGGAAGCAGGAGGCCGCTTCCTCCACGCTCAGCTGCCACCCATTCACCTGTGTAAGGGACTGTGGTCTTTGAATCTTTGCCCAAGGAATGCCTTGTCCTCTTCTGCCCACCCACTCTTTCCTGGTGAACTCACAGCCTCAAGCTATCAGACTACCAGGCAACTCCTCTGTGGCAGCTCCTTCATAGGCTATGTGGCCTTTTTCCGAGTTCTCGTGGTGGTGGGTTCCCACCAGTGCCTTGCTCCTTGTAACTCTAAATCTACACCAAGCTAGAATGTGGGTCAGGCCCTTGCCTGACCGGTGTCTGGTCCTTAGTAGGTACTAGTGAATACTGATCCAGTGAGGGGAAGTGGGTGATGACCAGAGCAGAGAGTGGGAGATGAAAAGAGTTCAGATCAGAAACGATCTTAAAAAACAAACTTAAGTCCACTCAGGAATGCTCATTAAGAGTGCATTTCAGCTCAAAATATCTGCAACTTTGCCAGGAGCCGATGACCACATCTTCTTAAGAAAATTTCGGTCTTTGAATCTTGCCAGCTCTTAGGAATTGAGAACCTGCCATTATTGACACATCATAACAAGCGATAGTTAGCTATTAACTCCCTGCGTACATTGACACAGTAATCACCAGGAGAGAAGAAGGCTGGGCCGCTCCGGGGAGGGACTCTGACTGGGTGCTGAAGCTGAGTAGACTCACTGCTGCAGAACCCGCAGCCAGTCCCCATCAGCATCCTTTCCATGGCTGATCTTGAGGAGGTGCTAGGA